GTCGGGCTGAGGGACCCCCCCTTCCCCCCAAGTGCACCAATTTTTGTGCACCGGGCCTCTAGTCCTATATAATAAAAGGCTAATATGCAAATTGACCAAAAGGCAAAAACGACTGGTTGCTATGATACGCACTGACCATCAGGGGGCAGACACTCAATGTAGGAGCTGCCCCCTGGTGGTCAGTGCACTCCCACAGGGCGAGCACTGTTCAGCCAAAAACCAGGCTCATGGCTGGTGAGTGCAAGGGGGGTGGTGGGAGCCTCTCTCACCTCTGCGGCAACGCTAAGGATGTCCCTGCCGTGGCGAGCGGGCCTAAGCCAGCATTTGGACATCCCCACAAGGGCTCCCAGACTGCGAGAGGGTGCAGGCCGGGCTGAGGGGAACTTCCCCCAAGTGCACGAATTTTGTGCACCAGGCCTCTAGTATAGTCATAAAGGAGTGGAATAGGCTGTGTGTTCAGAATGCAGGAGAGAACTGAGTTTGGGCTTGTAAATGGTATGGCTTCAGTTTGGACTTGTAAATGGCATGGTAGCACACTGATGACCTGAAGTGAAGAGAGACTTTGAAGCAATACAGTGCTAAGACAAGCTTTCAAGACAGAATTAGATTGAATCCCAGCTTCTCAGTATGTGACTTTGGGCACATTACTTAACCTCTCCAAGCCTCACTTTCCTCATCCATTGAATGAGGATAAAACAGAACAAGGATTGGTGTGAGAATAAAATATCATGCATGTAAAGAAAGCACTTAGCACCTAAAAAGTCTTCAACATGTGTTAGTTGTTAATATGACTGTTAAAGAAAAGACCTTGTTTGTCCAGTGACCATAGGGGCAGATGGTAATACCAAGGCTTGGATTGAAGGTAGAAGCAAGGGAACTGGCAGGAAAGGAGAACTGGGTTACCTCTGTATGGCCTTTGGTTGGGGATCTCTCCAAATGGAGCTGAAGGAAGTGCCAGCTGCAAAAGCTGGTGGGCCCATCAGGATGCCTGAGAATGCCCTGGTGCGGATCAGCTGTGGTCAAACAGCTTCACAACCTGTGAACTGCCTTGTATAAATGTACGGCCATGTATAATAATAGACATACATACAT